CAGTCCATGTGTTGGATATTTTGCGACAAGAAGACGTCAGAGCACCTAAAGCCGAATGTCTCAGAGCTGTCATTCGACCAGCCGCCCTATATGGTGCTGAACCGCGACCAAAGAAATCCAACCCGTCTTAGTGTGTAGATGAGAATGTTGCATGTACGACGGCCATTACACAATTGGAAGCATTTGTAACGATCTACTATGCACGAAGTTAGGTATAGCTCCCATAGCTAATAAAATGCAAGAATCGCACCTTTGGGTATGGCCACCAAAGGCGCGATTCTTGCAGAGGCTGGCTTGAAGGAGGAGAAAAAGGTCATAAGCCCCGTTGGCGAATGTCAAACCTTCATCGTCCTCACCTTTTGACATTTGCGTGAGGGCTGTTTCGCCATTTTCGCCATTGACTGAAGAAGTTCGCACTGATACTCGACCTTACTGTATTCTCTGCTCCGACCACTAACTCACCCATAAGTGTCCACTGTTTGCTCAATCCCTTTTTTCTTTTTTTCCACTCTTTCTTCCACACGAAAGTGGCCGCTGACTGGACCATACTGGCAGAGGCGCAGGCCATCTCACTTGCTACGCCCGCCGCCGCGTGATGAAAAAAAAATTGCGCCGCATGCGCTCATGAGTGAGTTTTCCTCCTACTGTAGATGGGTTTTTGATGGGCGGTATTCTGAGTCACTCAGATGCCCGATTCTTTTTGTGCCATTGCTCATTTGGATTCCCTAACATGATTTCGAACCATGTGAAGGCATGGCTTGGTTAACATCGATCGGTCTTGTCCGGGTGTGTGCCGCGCACGTCCTCATGCAGGGGTGGTGGAAAGGCATAACTCCTAGGAAAGAGCGACACTATGTACGCAGATCTTTTCATGAGTCCGGAGGGTCGGCGAGAATGAGCATCTCCTATCCCTATGTACTGCGCTGAATAACAACTAATCTTTATTACAATCGGCTCCAATATAGGAAACGAGCAGAATGCAGTGACGGCATGTCGACACCGGCGGTGAAACAGGCTGCTGGTCGGATCCCATCAAGCGGCAGACGACTGTATGACAGAAACCTGTATTGGTCACACACAGTCGCCTTATATCTCAGGTGCGCACACTGGCAAATCCTGTAATCACAAAGCTCAATGAGCGCCATCATTCAGCTTGCTAATTAGTCCCTGACTAGTGATCACCCCGGAGGCTTACATTCATGATTTAGTCATCTAGATAGCCACGAAGTTACGCTCACTATTATCACTGTTAGATAATTCGATACTTTGTCGTCTTCAACACGTTCGGATCGTCTACACTTTTTCGATTCTTCAGTGCTGGTTCCGCTCCATACTAAGGATGACACTTGTTTGATGCTCAGCGACCCTGCATTTACGACCCGGTTTCACCAATACGACCCGCTGGCGGGTTTCTCGCAACAGCCCTACCTGACTGCGGCCGCCGAGGCATCGGCACCGGGGTGGATGAGCCTCTTATCATGCGCGTAAAGTTGGAACGTTTAGGGTCATAGTGGTTGGAGAACTTCATGTAAACGTGCAGACAGCAGAAAAAGAAAAAGTTGCCGTGGTCGAAGAAAATGAACTCTAGTCGCCCGTAGACCCTGTGGTAGCGTTGGTTTCTGCGAGGTGAAGGAGGGGGGGGGTGAATTGACCTCCAACAATAGCTCATCAACTCATCCTAGCGATCATGCTCCTCCAACTGCAGCTGAAAACACAAAAATGCTGACGCTGTCGCAGTTTGCTCCCTTTCTCATACATGTTCGTATTGCGTATCCTGAAATGAAATGCGATGAGCGAGTTGGAACAATAACGCGAAGTTAAACTGGGATTCTATAAGAAATAGAACGTGTGTGGACACATTGGTCTCTGCCTCACCTGTGCACTGTCTTTTCCGTTAGCTCCTTAGGATCGAAGTTATGCAAAGCGAAGCTGTTATTCCATCAAAGAGTGTTACTTATTTTCTTGATGAATGGAAAATGCAACTATCAAGCTGAAAACTCTGAAAGAAAGGTCAGCGTGACTGCAGGCCCATCAGTCGCTAACAGAAAACTCCTCTTCTGAGAGTTTACGAGCCAAGAAGCTTTTTTTCAGCAGCATAGCAAAGCAATGTTCTCAGTGGCCTGAACATCTGATTATTTGATGGAGATACACTTGAACAAAAAGCAATTTGTCGTGAACGAAGGAGTCTGGGTGTCTATAGGGCAGCTACTAAAACTTGAGCCACGTTCGGACTAGACATTTGATCTCATGATGTCGAGTCTTTTTCACACAATTACCTCGTTGACAGAAGAGTTGATATGAGGATCATTAATCAAAAGTAGTTTTTGTAAAAAAAACCTGTAGTCTGGCAGACCCAGTCGATGCTTTTCCGCACATCGGCAAAGAGCATCCACTTAACTGAAATGTATAAGTATTTAAGTGAGAAGCTATTGTGACTCTATAAAATTACGCAGTTTAGACAAGGAATCTGCCTATGAAAGACTGCAAGACGACCTCATTTCCGACCTCACTACAACGAATACACCCATACGTCTAGGTCCATATCCCGGATTATTTTTATCTTGTAATTTCCATTATGGCTTGAAAGAGTCGTTGATGCAACTTTAATTACGTGTTCCCAAGACGATACAGGGTATCGTGACAGTGGATCTCTGCCCTGCGGCTCCTAGACAAATCTATTCAAGAACAAGACCCTCAGTGAAGGTGTACTGCCTGTTCCTCGACGACTGGATCGATAAATGGATCGTAACACACGACAGAAGGAGGAATCGATAGTGTTGCATGCCAAAGATCAGAATCACAATTATATAGTTCTCCTTATTAGGGTACCCCGTTCAGAGGCTTCAACAGCCGATGGAGGACAAGCTGACGACGGCTAAACCCAGCCCCACTGCCCCTTCATTCGCAGCGAAAACTGCGCGCAGGTGGGGAGGATTTTGTGAAGTTAGTCCTAGGTAGTAGAGTTCAAAACAGAAAGGCAGTGTGCTGTTGACTCACTAAAGAAGAAGAAGAAGAAGAAGAAGAAGAAGAAGAAGAAGAAGAAAGAAGAAGAAGAAGAAGAAGAAGAGAAGAAGAGAAGAAGAAAAGAAGAAGAAGAAGAAGAAGAAGAAGAGAAGAAGAAGAAGAAAGAAGAAAGGAAGAAAGAAGAAGAAGAAGAAGAAGAAGAAGAAGAAGAAGAAGAAGAAGAAAGAAGAAGAAAGAAGAAAGAAGAAGAAGAAGAAGAAGAAGAAGAAGGAAGAGAAGAAAGAAGAAGAAGAAGAAGAGAAGAAGAAGAAGAAGAAGAAGAAGAAGAAGAAGAAGAAGAAGAAGAAAGAAGAAGAAGAAGAAGAAAAGAAGAAGAGAAGAGAAGAAGAAGAAGAAGAAGAAGAAGAAGAAGAAGAAGAGAGAAGAAGAAGAAGAGAAGAAGAAGAGAAAGAAGAAGAAGAAGAAGAAGAAGAAGAAGAAGAATAAGAAGAAGAAAGAAGAAGAAGAAGAAGAAGAAGAAGAAGAAGAGAAGAAGAAGAAGAAGAAAGAAGAAGAAGAAGAAGAAGAAGAGAAGAAGAAGAAGTAAGAAGAAGAAGAAGAAGAAGAAGAAGAAGAAGAAGAAGAAGAAGAAGAAGAAGAAGAAGAAGAAAAGAAGAAAGAAGAAGAAGAAGAAGAAGAAGGAAGAAGAAGAATGTAATGTATATTGAAGAAGAAGAAGAAGAAAAGAAGAAGAAGAAGAAGAAGAAAAGAAGAAGGAAGAAGAAGAAGAAGAAGAAGAAAGAAGAAGAAGTAAGAGAAGAAGATGAAGAAGAGAAGAAGAAGAGACATGAAGGAAGAAAGAAGAAGAAGAAGAAAAGAAGAGAAGAAGAAGAAGAAGAAGAGAAGAAGACAGAAGAAGAAGAAGAAGAAGCAAGGAAGAAGAAGAGAAGAAGAAGAAGAAGAAAAGAAGAAGAGAAGAAGAAAAGAAGAAGAAGAAGAAGAAGAAGTAAGAAAGAAGAAGAAGAAAGGAGAAGAAAAGTCATACTGATGCCGCTTAAGAACCGCTCTAGACCGACCGTCCCCCTGACCGTGCCTAAGACCCCCTCCTCCACAACAACCACACTTCGCTTCACATTTTTAGTTGGCGCTCTCCTTCCAGACCACCGTCCTTTTCGTTTTCGTGATATCCTACGAAATCAAAAAATAGAAAATATACCTGGTGATCTACAGTCGAAAGGTCCAAAAAGACCACCTGATGTAACGCCGAGTGCAACATATCGCCCTTCCCCATTGAGCTGGAATAGGGGCCCGCCGCTATCACCCTATAAATGACATGTCTTAAAAGCTTTCTGCTAATCCGAGACACCGGAAACTTCATGTGGAAATCATCAACACTGTTCATAGAAAAAGCATGAACTTTGCTCAGAGAGTGAACTATGACTGGCGAGATGACCTTGGAAAAAGCCAAAAAAGGCCGTCGAGCTCTTCACTATCAATCACTGAAGTGCTCTCGAAAAAGAACACTGCACGGAACTGGACCCGGCAAACGGAGGCATACTATTTTGGCCGTTGCGATTTGATTTTTATCTCGTTGGACAAGGCGTATAGGTCACAACGGTGCTACTTTCGCTCCGTCTATGATAGCGAAACTATGGCCAATCGTGCGGCTTCTGAGTATCTGTGGCATAATTTGCCCGCGGCGGGGACTAGAATGCTAGTTGGAGTGTTGGGTGTAGATCCCTATGTAAAACGTTTTGTTGCAGTGCCAGCTTTCTTCCACCAACGCTGCCCGTGTGGTTTCAATAAGTGAAAGAAAGAAGCCGGCGCGACGCCGGAGCGTATGTAAGCCGAAACGCCTTCACATGACGCACTGAAAGCGACTGTAGAAGGGAATTCACCTCTCAGTGCATCTTCGGCCCGACTTCATGCAATTTCAAGCGGTGGAGATGGTACCCTCGTACAGAGGCCGGCCTAATAGCCTCGCTCGTGGAAGAAGTCAACCCTCGCCGCGCAAAGTATGTCTCTGAAGATAGAGATTCATACCCATAGTGGTTCGCTCATATCTGACACAGATTCTGCTGGACGTTCTTTCTACTCTGAAGACTGATTATATGTGTGACTCAATCCTAAGGTGCAAGACATCGTCCTGAATGAGGATTAATGGGACTCACCGGACATGTAGAAGTGGTATTGCTTTGTCCCAGAAGTACTTCAGGGTTGTCTTCGTCTTCCTTGACAAGTGGGACTGCAGCAATTTTATTTCCGGGATCTCTCCTCTCCGCTGAAGACTGCTTCATTTTGGTACCAAATATATTAGGCAACCAAAAAAGTTCGTGCGATTTTTTTACTTTTATGAATTATATTCAGTAAACTGGATTGAGTGGTAGGGTTACTTTGAATACATGTTAAGAAATATTTCAAGGAGTGTCATTCAGTGTATTTGTTAATTTAGATTACTTTCAATTGAGGCGAACAGAAAAAAAAGTTGTGGTTTTCCACCAGGACAATGCTAGACAATGCACTGCAAGAATCACTCAGGAAACAACTGCGCGACTAGGATGAGAAATTCTACCTCACCCTCCGTACTCGCCAGACCTTGCTCCAAGTGACTATCATCTGTTTTTGGCCTTGGACAACCACATGAGGAATCGGCGATTTAAAAATGAAGTGGCTTTGGACAAGGAACTAAAACATTTCTTTGATTCCCAGAAGCAAGATTCTTACAAAAATGGAATATATGTTCTCATGTTTAAATGGGAAAGTGTCTTACTTACTGAGGGTAATTATTTTACGGGATAAATCCATGTTTACCCGTTTTTTATGTTGTTATTTCGCTACCTTCAAAACCGCCCGAACTTTTTTGGTTGCCTAATAGATTCGCATACGAAAGCACATTCCAAATCCAAAAGTATTCAATAGGACCGAAAAATTTAGACACTGTGCGTTGAGCGTTTTTGGGCTGTTTACCGTCACCGCTCTCGTGGAATTCCCACCACAACGATCTTAATTAAAATGCTAATTCTTCCTCGGCAATTCCGGAAGAAGATGTGAACTAAACTGTTTGGAGCTGAGATTCTCTAGGTTTCTAGAAATATTGAAGAAATTCTTTCATTCTATAGAGAAGAACACGCTGTGGACAAGAGCAACTCCTCTGCACTAAGGACCATTTGTGTGGGTATGGTAGGATGGGATAGGCCGTCTTCCGCTCAACTTCAAGGAGAAATTAATGACTGACCTACACCTCAGAACTCTTATAACAATTGTGGTGAACTGCAGTAAAAAAAAGCGTCCTTGAGGGATAGAAAAAAAATAAATATGTAACTTACGACTTTCCCATCCACTTCCCGCAACTTGAAGTTCTTTTGCTAATGCAAGTTTACTGTGTGGTAAGCAAATTGGGATGGCATCCTTGCTGCTTACTTCTTTGCTAAGCTCGAGGATAGCGACGTCATGTTGGGCGATTTTCACCTGCATTGCAGGGATTTCATCGTTGTTCCCTTTCACGCACGGCTCCCATTTTTCGTCGACAAAGACCTGAAGTGGCACTATGCAAAAAAGGTGTTTACCTTTTTCTAAATTGATTTTTAGCAACCCCAACCTCAGAAACTTGGTGTGTGGTTTTACATTTTTCAGGGGGATTGCAACGGGTGCCGACATATGCGATGATATCTTTTGGCTTGACTTCTGATGGCACGTAATTCTTCAGCTTTCCTTCGCATTCATATCTGTGGTCTTCGTTGAAGTTCGTCACACAATGTGCGGCCGTAAGAACTTGACGTGGGGAAATTAGGAACCCACTGCACGGTCCCATATATTTTACATCTGGAAACTGAATAATGGACTTTTCACACACAATTTAATCGAATGAAGCCCCACCTCCTAGATCTTTGGGAATACGGAGCTTGACCATCCACGGATACTCGCCTGACTTTATAAGACGACCTCCGAATATTTTGAATTTTGAGGAAGATCCTGAAATTCGGTACTTCTTTTCCTGACTTTGTAAGATCACATAAACTGGCCGAATAGAAGTCGAGAACACTGAATTGCAATGCAATGCAGAATGGCAAAAAGATTCGTTTTGACACAGACTTTGCCACATTGTAGGAATTTGACATTTATTTTGATATTTAGTTTGTCTTAAAAGTTCTTTACATTTTCGAAAAAAGTTTCGAAAATGTAAAGAACTTTGCAGACAAGCTAAATAGTTTTTCGAGTCAAGTTTATTCCAGTGAGAAGCAATGTACAACTACATTTGAACAGGGGGGAGCAAAAAGACACTTATCTTCCTTGAATTCCAAGCAGGGCACGTCATTGCGTCGTGATCATTTCCTGAGAAATACGACCCCCCCCCTGCAAATAAGGATCTTGATGCGACCTCCTGTGCATTGCAAACTGACACAGGGTGTTTAGGCGCGGGCGCCAGGCGATCCAAATTTGAATACTGAATGTTCGCGGTCTTCCGCTTTTTTACGATCTCGATCAACTTCTTCAAGCCAAACACTCGAAAATACCCTCGCTTGAACACCCATAACTTTGCTGGAAGTAGAGCTCTCGGCCGGCAGAAAGTAGGAATAAGGGGAGTTTTTTCCTAGAAATTTTCCCATTGTGGTCCTCCCGTGATCCTAGGGTGTCATCCACAAATCCCACGGATTTGAATAGCCATGACAAGCTTCATACAGCGCCATTCGTGAGAAGAAAAATTGGGCCGGAAGCATGAAGCTTTCTGTTTACCAGCAGAACTTTCATTTTATCCCTAGCTGCCATTCGAAAAAATCACCCCGTGATCATTGCCTCAAGACACGAAAAAATCAGCCTCTCTAGCGCCATAAAACCTCCAGTTGGCCTGAAAGTTTTGTAATGATTCTAGAACGCATGTTTTCGCCAAGAATATCAGGGAATAGATCATTGGGTGCCAATTGGTATTACCTCTGCAATGCGCCAGGCTTCCAAGCCCTCTCTAGAAGTTGCAGTCTCCCAATAGCTCTGCGTGAAAACGCTACGCATGTCGCATTGCAGAGGTGATGTGCAAGTAGATGTGCTTCTGCGATAGGAAGGTCCGAAAGTGTACTTCCAAGGATTGGTACCAGATTCGTCTGGGAGGATAAAACACTGACTTGTACATCGGGGGACCTGGGCGTATAAGCCGCATCGCATTCAATAAGCCACTGTAGATCTGAATGAAGTAGAATGCGTGCCGCATTCGGAAAAGGGTTCGCAACGGCGGAGACTTTATCCTTTATCTTTTTTCATTAATTCATGACGTCGCTGTGGGCTGCCATCGTATTTCCTGTCATCGCCCACTCCCCACTTCTGCGCTGGCAGGTTGTTTCTGTGTTGTATGGGTCTCTTCGGGGGAAGTTCACAAGAACTTCATCATTGAAGCTGAATGACATCTGGGTATCGCTGCACCTTCACAATTGTCCTCGCTCTTACGACTCTCCCCGTCCCTCGAGCTCCAGTATGACCCCGCCCCTGTTGTGATGATCACAACGATGGCGTCCCCTGCTTTCAAGGCGCTATAAGTTACACTTAACTGAATCCTTATTGGACATTTTCATCACCCTATTCAACACATATTGTACACTATCACGATGCTCTGGCACAGCCTTCTGGACGAGCGCCATCGAGAGATTCTGCCCCGNGACCGTGATTCTGTACATGGGTTGAGCAAGATCGTTGAATTTTCCGCACGCGTAAACCGCCCTTGTTGAGCTCGACCCCGGTAATGTTGCCCGACCCTGGTAATTGAGGAGATTCAGGTGAAGAGACTTGACACACTCAGATATTCCGCATGGTTTGGATACTCGAAGCCCTTCCATTCCAAGTAGGTGAGAGCTTTTTCAACGTTACTCGATTCCGTGTGGAGGTACCCAATCCTGCAGCAATACGAAGTCTCCGAGAAGGTATATGACATGAAGGTAGGATAGTACCGGTTCCTAAAAAGCTATCAATGGGTGACTCCATTCAAGGAGTTTGGCAGCTGTTTGAAAATGATGTGATCTGAGAGGTCCTTTCCAGTCAGACTGCGACTGGAGATGACTTCATTTTTCGTGCACTTGAGGGGGGAAGGGCGAGAGCCTGCTCCCGTTTATCGAGGTAATTGCGCTTCGGAATAAACTCATGTTCAAAGTCCAAATAGAAGGTGGTAATGACAAAGGCTAGCAATGAAGAACAGCGAGTGCACATGTGAATGAATTCTTGTTCTTCTCCCTTGCGTTAGTCCCGCGCCGTCGCAGGGTCCGCTGTTCGTGTTAGACGTCGCCACTCGTTCCGATCCACAGCATCTTCTGCCGTGGCCTTCACTTCAGTGAGGTCCTTCTTGATGACGTCCCTCCATCTTTTCTTTGGGGCTCCTCGTGGTCGCTTGCCCTCTGCTTCCTTTGAATTCCAATGCCTTCCTTATTGGGTGGTCCTCAGACCTTCTCAGCACGTGCCCATACCATCGCAGTCGTTGCTCTCGTGCCTCTGGATCGGAGCGGTCTATGTGACCGCCCTGACGTCCTCGTTTCTGACTCTGTCGAGTCGTGTTCAGCCGCAGCCCCATCTCAGCATCCTCATTTCAGCTGAGTGAAGCTGCCTTTCATGGTTCCTGCAGATGGGCCAGCATTCGCTGCCGTAGAGCATTGTAGGTTTTACCACGGCCCGGTACACCTTGCCCTTGAGCGTTCTCGAGCGCCGCCGGTCACACAGGATGCCAGTGGACTCCCTCCATTTCATCCAAGCTGCGTTGATTCGGGTCTTCACCGCCTGGTCCATGTGCCATCAGCAGTTAGGTCGCTCCCCAGGTACTGAAAGTCCTCGACCCTTTCGATGCTCTCGCCGTGACGGTCAGTGGTCCCTCCATGAGTTCTTCTGCCATGACATGTAGAGTCAGTAGGAAGAGGAACGGGCTGAGGGCTGATCCTTAAAGGCACGTTCCGCGATAAACTAGGGCTAGGTTCTCATAACCGTGCCCGACGGTCAAGCAGGCAACGTCAGAGGCTATGCTGCTTACAAAAGTTGAAAAACAGCAAGCAAAACGCGGCGCTCAGCTTTTAGGCCCATTGGTGCCCGATAGGCCCATGCCGGCCTCCAGTGATCGTGTCGTGTGACATTGACATTGTGCTCTCTCGCTCGTCGTTTCCTTTCCTCTCTCGTCTCTTATCAGTGTCTCGCCGCCTTTTGCCATCCACAACCGATCTTGACCACCTCACGCTCGTCCGGTGATCATGATCAATTGAAATAAAGAGGGTCTTATTGCGGGCGCTTTTTCGTGGTTCCTTCCCTTCAATAAGTCAACAACCACAGGGCAATTCTATCTTTGAACTGTATTACCTATGAAGTGTGGTCGCGGGAATTGCCTTTAACCGTGATGTTTACCTCCTTCGCCAAGCCGTTCTGGGTGCGTACAGCTGCTTTAGCCCCATCATACATATCCTTCACTATGGAGACCAGGTGCTCCGCAACTTTACGTCTCGGAGCGCTCTCCAGAGTACAGGTCGAGGCAGACGGTCGAATGCCTTCCCAAGGTCCAGGAAGGCTAGGTAGCAGGGTCGCCGCTTCTCTCGGTACTTCTCCATCAGCTGTCTGGCGATGAAGATGGCATCTGTGGTGGACCTTTCGGGCATGAAGCCGAATTGTTCCTGGACACAGGGACAAGTTCCCTCAGCCTAGTGTTGACCAGGCGCTCGTAAGCTTCATGGAGGGGAGTCCAATGATGCGCGGTAGTTGACTCCGTCGGCGTCCCCTTTCTTTTGAAGATGGACGATTGTACTGCTTCTCCACGCATCTGGGCATCCTTCCTTCAGCGCCTTCATTGTTCAGGAAGTCTGTTAGCCAACTTCACCCAAACTCTCCCGCCTTCCATGGCCTCTATCCGTCGGCCCACTGCTTTCCAACTTTCATTCTCCCTAGCTCCCGTCGAACTTCCTCCTTCGTCCAGGGCGTGATGGGACCTGCCGTCGCCTCTATCTTGGGCTGTCCTTGCGGGGGATTCTTCGTTCAGAGTCCCTCGAAGATATTCTTCCCACCTCTTCCACTTGGCGTGGTTTCCTGGAGAATGGCCCGTTGATGCTCTCACAGTCTTTACGACCTGATGTTTGAGCCGCGCGATGCCGAGCTTTAGCCAGGCGGAAGACGAAATGTCTCCTTCTCGGTCTCTCCAGCTTCTCGTATATAGGGCGTCCATATCCGTATTCTTGCGCCTTCGCAAACGGCGCCTTGGCGAATCGCTTGCAGCTCTTGTTGCAGCGATATCTTCTGGGGTCCGTGTCTTCTGGCAGCGTTTGTACGCTTCCTTCTTTTGCTTGACGATCCCTGTGACTTCTCTCGTTCCCGAACCAGGCTGCCTGTCTCCCTTGGTACCACCTCGCGTCTCTCCCAGGACTTCCTTGGCACACTGTAGCATGCACCCCTGCATGCATGGGTCCAGGTGTCCTGGACTGGCCCATGTGGGCCTGGGACCCAGCCTCCAGTATTTTTCTGCCGAGGCTATACTTTTCTACCATTGTGCATTTTCCCCCACCGATTCCTTCGCTCTGCTCTCACCCTTGTCTTCGTGGGGAGGTTTATGGCGATGTCTGCCATGAGAGGCCTGTGCTGAGGCCCATCTCTTCCCGGCAGTACCTTATATCTTTTGACGGTTTGAGAGACGATCTTCTGACCAGGATATGGTCCGATTTTCGTTTGTCTCCCTCTCCACTGCTGTAGGTTATTCTGAGTCCTCTTTTCGCGAGTAAAGTGCTGCAGATTTGCTAATCGTGGGCTGTGGCTAAGTCAGGAATCCGTTCTCCCTCAGCGTTCCTTGCCCCTATTCCTTGGCCTCCGTGCCCCTTCCTAGGCCTCTTCTGTCATTTACACAATGACCATCAAATCCCCAGCTATGTGAGGTAGTCATCTTCCGGAACCGGTCTTATGGCCTCGTCCAGG